TACCTCCTGGAGACTGTTCTTGATCTGGCCAACTGTTGTGAAGGGTGTTTTCTTCACCAGGGAAAGAATTCTTCGGTCATCCACCACAGTTGTTTTCTGTGGTCTTCCAGGTCTTTTGGTGTTGCTGAGCTCACCGGTGCGTTCCTTCTTTTTAGGAATGTTCCAAACAGTTGTTTTGGCCACACCTAATGTTTTTTCTAACTCTCTGATGGGTTTGTTTTGTTTTTTCAGCCTAATGATGGCTTGCTTCACTGATAGTGATAGCTCTTTGGATCTCATCCTGAGAGTTGACAGCAACAGATTCCAAATGCATATAGCACACTTGAAATGAACTCTGGACCTTTTATCTGCTCATTGTAATTGGGATAATGAGGGAATAACATACACCTGGCCATAGAACAGCTGAGAAGCCAATTGTCCCATTACTTTTGGTCCCTTACCAAGTGGGAGGCACATATGCAAACTGTTGTAATTCCTACACCGTTCACCTGATTTGGATGTAAATACCCTCAAATTAAAGCTGACAGTCTGCAGTTAAAGCACATCTTGTTCGTTTCATTTCAAATCCATTGTGGTGGTGTATAGAGCCAAAAATGTTAGAATTGTGTCGATGTCCCAATATTTATGGACCTGACTGTATCTGTAGCAAGATAGATTATAATATCTAATCAGTTTTGTCCATGGGGTAGCTCCATTTCCTTAACAGAGATGATATATTCAAGGCTTATGACCAAACTACAGTGCCTCTTTGTATGCCGTCACTTCATCTAAAATGGTATGGTATTTGATTTGGTCTGGTGTTATTAACCATTTGGATATAAAGTAAATAATTGCAATGGTATCCAGTCATATTGTTGTGTGCAGTACATTCCACTCCAATAGGCATTAATTACAGCTGAGCATACCTTTTCTATATATTTAAGCAAAAAAGTTATATATTTTACATTCATCAATTGACCAGATGGTGCGTAGGGAAATGTACCCTCTTCCAGTATAGATTTGTTATTTGCCAAAGATGATGATTTACAATTAGGGCTGAGTTCAATAGCTGATGGAGCAGAGCCTGGCAGACGTTGAGCAGACAGTTCAAGGGCAAAGGCAGATTGACAGTTGGATTGGTGACTCCTAGACAGCTCATTAATAAGGCAGAGTTGTTATCACTATCTGCTCTCTGTTATACTCCACAGGGTTGTGCGCACCGGAGCCTGCATTTTACAGCCCACTAGTAAAATGTGGACTCTGGTGTTAAGACTAGGTTGCCCCATGGAGTTCTCTGTGTTTAACACAGCAGAAAGAGCTCTGTGATTGGAGGAAAGCAGGTCATATGCGGTGTGGTGCAGGCAGTGTGACTTTTTTTCCTTCCTTACTTCAAAGTCCCTGGCATTCCCCCTATACATCAAAGTCCCCCTTTACATCCATGTCTCCAAGATCCCACCTTATATCAGTGTCCCCAGAAGGCCACCACCTTACATCAGAGTCCCCCCCTTATAGCAGAGTACCGCCCCTTACACCAGAGTCTGGCAGAGTGCCCCTTACACATACCTTAACTGGCGGCTGGCTGGCCTGAAAAGGCTTTAAAAATAATCCCCTTGTTTCTGGCTCTGAACTGCACATAGTTGCAGAGCCAGCTAATTTGTGAATTGCTGGGTTCAGCCTAAACTGGTGCGGTGATGTGTGAATATATGCCATGCCTGATAAACGCTATGATGTCACTGTGCAGGGGGGGGGGGGGGCACAACTGAAATCTGCAGGGACATACCCCACCTCAGCACCCCCCTAGATCCAGCCATGGGTAGGATGTGTATTTTTCTGAAAAAGCCCCTCCTCCCCTCTTCCAGATGAAGGGAAGAAAGCCCATAAAGACTCCTGGGATGTATGACTTCATTTTGGCCTAGTTCAGAAACCAGAAAGCAACTGAATAAATGTAAAAAAAAAATTTTGAACAAATTAATATAATACACCATCCTATCAATTTACTAACACTAGTAGCATAAGGATTTAAAGTGCTACTAAATCCAGGACCCTGCATTTACTATATCCGGTCTCCCAGGACCCTGCATTCACTATATCTGGTCTCCCCGGACCCTGCATTCACTATATCTGGTCTCCCACAGTACACAGAACATGGAAATGCAATTGTTTTAGTAAATATAAACTGCTAAATACTTTTTCTCATCAGCTGTGTATAGCAGTCTTGTGATTTCTATCAGTGTCCAGCCGAGCACATGTTAAAGCTTGTGGGAGAAGTTTTCATTTATTTTAGGAGTTTGCAGAACCCCTGATCTCTGTCTGGACAGTGCTGATTGGCCCTGTGCTGATCACATGCACTCTCCCAAGAAAAAAAAAAAAACCTCTCTAGCAATACACACCAAACTGAGCATGTGCAGTGAGACTCCACACGATATGTCTTATCAGGAGATAAGAGGGGGACACTGGAAGAAGGGGTCGATCAGATAAGACAGTATCAAACAGCATTTTTACACAATGCAGAGGGTTAACCCCTTAGGTTCCACAGTGAGTATAACAAGCATGCTTTACTGCATATACAGACTGATTTTACTGTTGTGGGTTTAGTAACACTTTAAGATAGTCAATGCTGATTGAGAGAATTTAGTCCTACTTTAAGCAGTTATGGTATTTACTGGAATTTACCATTTTTTTTAACCACCTCCCGTCCGGCCGTTGTATATAAACGGCCGGACGGTGGCACTGCAGGGTCGGGTGGCCGTCTATAAACGGCCTCCCCGCACCCTGCTTGTGCACGCTCCCTGGGGAGCACGCAGCACCGCGATCCGGTGCCCGCTGTGTCCTCCGGACACAGTGAAACACCGATCGTCGGACGGGACCTCTGTACGAGGTCCCGATCATGTGATCACTGATTGGCCAATCAGTGATCACATGCAAAGTAGTAAGCAAGATGTCACTTGTGACATCATTGCTTACTACGTGTGAAATCTGTGAATGATCAGAGGTCACATGGTACAAGGCTATTCACAAAAGCCTTGTACCATGTGACAAGCTGTGACCAATCACAGCTCACTCAGTATTTATCAATGAGTGCAAGAATGCACACAGAGAGAAAGAGAAATGATTGCTTTTACATCCTAAATGGGTGTAAAAGCAATCAGTGTAAAAAAATCTTCATCACCCCCCACAAGTAGTACAGTGTCACCATGGTGACACTGTACTGCTAGGGTGACAGTATGTAAAAAAAAAAAAAATAATAATATAAAAAAATAAAATAAAAATGTAAAAAAAAATGTTTAAAAATTATAATTTTTGCTTATAAACTAATTTGGATTTTTTTTTTTTACTAAAAAGATAACGGAATAAATTTTGGCTAAGATTTATGATGAAATATTATTTATTTGCAAAATTTTATAAAAAAAACATTTTTTTTCAAAATTTTTGGACATTTCATTTACATAGCAAAAAAAATACAAATCCCAGTGGTGAATAAATACCACCAAAATAAATCTTTATCTGTCTCAAAAAAATGGTAAAAAATTCATTTGGGTACAGTGTTGCATGACCGCGCAATTGTCATTCAAAGTGTGATAGCGCTAAAAGCTGAAAATTGCCCTGGTCAGGAAGGGGGTAAAAGTGTCCGGTCTGGAAGTGGTTAAAGGTACAGTAATTATTTAGTTGACTTTTGGAGGCATACTAAAAATGCAATCATGTATATTTATTTATTACAGGTACTTATATAGCTCCATCAATTTACACAGCGCTTTACATATATATTGTACATTCACATCAGTCCCTAACCCTCAAAGGGTGTACAATCTAAGGTCCCTAACTCACATTCATACATACACATACTAGGGACAATTTAGACAGGATCCAATTAACCTAACAGCATGTCTTTGGAGTGTGGGAGGAAACCGGAGTACCTGGAGGAAACCCACGCAGACACAGGGAGAACATGCAAACTCCAGGCAGTTGGGATTCGAACCAATGACCCTAGTGCTCCCAGGCAGAAGTGCTAACCATTTAGCCACTGTGCAGTTCTCTGAGTGACAATGCATTCATACTTCTGCATTTTGATATATTTGGTGGAGGAGGGTGCTATAAAACTCTGCTTACTGAATTTTCAATGTGGTTTCCATCAAAGCACACCATTCACTGGTATAAATGGTAACAATGAAATACATTTGGCAAGCATCAAGTAAGTTAGCTGAAGCCCTATAAGCCCCCTTACGCTCTGGTCTGTTACAGCCCTGCCATCCAGCATGGCCAAGTCCACTTGGACTATAGAACAGTCTTTTTACCACTGAGGAACCTCAAAATGAATTTCAGGTGTAGCAATACCTCCTGACGTTTTGGGTCCCCCTACAGTCCTGCACAGCCAGGCAACATGCTTTTTCCAGAAACAGTAAAACAGTCCTTGAACTTGTTTTTTTAGTTTTATTTGGGGTATTGAACTTGGATGGGGATTAAGGACACGTAGGATGCCCAAGGAACTGTTAACTGAGGACAACTTCCTGGAAATTATGTACAAGTCCACAAAAGATTTTTTTCTCTTCTTGAAGAGCTCTCCACCCTTTTCTGAAGTACTAACCCAAACCCCAGATAGTCCTTCTCTATCCAGTAATCTGAGGGCTTTTCCTGGACAAAGGGATCCGGTATTATCTGCTGCCTTAAGAGCACAGTCCTGCCACCTTAAGAGCACAGTCCAGCTGGGGGCTAGTCAGGTTTCCCACCCAAATGCTCTCTCCTTTCTCTCCAGTCCAGGGGGTGTAGAAGTACTCACAGTTCCTCTCCTGCAAGCTGTAGGTTGGTAGCTGCCTTCAGGCCTTCTGCTGAGTTTCTTAGCTCCACAGACAGTCTTCTCTCAGGGTGCCGGTGAGGTTCAGCTTTCCCTCTGTCCAGATCCCACCTGGAGGCAGGCCCTTTCCCACTGGGCCCCCTCCTAGGCTGCATGCTGGCCTCCTGCTCTTATATCTTCCACCCAAACTCCTGTCTTCTCTCTGAGCGGCTCACCGATCCTTAAAGTATTACTAAACCCACAACAGTAAAATCAGTCTGTATATGCAGTAAAGCAAACTTGTTATACTCACTGTGGAACCTAAGGGGTTAATCCTCCACATCGTGTAAAAAGAATGTTTGATACTGTCTTCTCTGATCCTCCCCTTTTTCCAGTGTCTCCCTAATATCTCCCGATGGAACAGAGGCTAGGGGCAAGCTGCACACACTCAGTTTGGTGTGTATTGCTAGAGAGTTGTTTTTTTTCTTGGGAGAGTGCATGTGATCAGCACAGGGCCAATCAGCACTCCTCAGACAGAGCTCAGAGGTCCTACATCCTGCTACAGGAGAATGAAAACTCCCTCTACAAGCTGTAACCAGTGCTCTTCTGGACACTGATAGAAGTCACAAGACTGCTTTAACTGATGATGAACAAAAGGCATTTAGCAGTTTATATTTACTAAAATAATTCCACTTTCATGTTCTGTGTGCTGTGGGAGTCCAGATATAGCGAATGCAGGGTTCTGGGTTTAGTAACACTTTAAGGACTGTCCCAACCCCTTTGCCAAGCCTCCTGCTTGGGGACTGGCCAGGTCCCTTAAGCATAAAGATCAGCCACTCCTCACCCCTGCCCACGAAGTTCTAGAGATTTCTCCAAGTCTCTAGATCAGGGGGAGGTACCAGAGTGTGGATCTGCAGAGCCTCTCAGCTCTGACCCAAACTAAACCCCTCTGACTATCTCCCCGGCTGCTACTCAGCCCCTCTATCTAAAAAAAAATAACTAACTTAGTCAATGGGAATATGCTCCTTACATAGGTGACCTGTGGGAAGAATGCTCCGTACATAGGTGACCAGTGGGAGTAATGTCCCTTACATAGGTGACCAGTGGGAGTAATGTCCCTTACATAGGTGGTCAGTGGGAGGAATATCCCTTACATAAGTGGTCAGTGGGAGGAATGTCCCTTACATAGGCGACCAGTGGGAGGAAAGTCCCTTACATAGGTGACCAATGGGAGTAATGTCCCTTACATAGGTGGTCAGTGGGAGGAATAACCCTTACATAAGTGGTCAGTGGGAGGAATGTCCCTTACATAGGTGGGCAGTGGGAGGAATATCCCTTACATAGGTGGCCAGTGGGAGGACTATTCCTTACATAGGTGACCAGTGGGAGAAATGTCCCTTACATAGGTGGCCAATGGGAGGAATATCCCTCACATAGGTGGCCAGTGGGTAGAATGTCCCTTACAGAGGTTGCCAGTAGGAAGAATGCCCCTTACATAGGTTGCCAGTAGGAAGAATGCCCCTTACATAGGTGGCCAGTAGGAAGAATGTTCCTTACATAGGTGGCCAGTGGGAGATATGTCCTTTACATTGGCATCCAGTGGAAAGAATGCCCCTTACATTGGTGGCTAGTGGGAAGAATGCCCCTTACATTGGTTGTTAGTGGGAAGAATGCCCCTTACATTGGTTGTTAGTGGAAAGAAGGCCCCTTACATAGGTGGTCAGTAAGAAGAAAATCACTTACATAGGTGGTTAGTGGGAAAAATGCCTATTACTTTGGTTGTTAGTGGGAAGAATGCACCTTACATAGGTGGCCAGTAAGAAGAATATCCCTTACATAGGTGGCCAGTGTAAAAAATGCCTCTGACAGTGGTGGATAATATGCCACTCTTACAGATAACCAGAAAATGTAATTGGTGACATGCAGCTGGCTTTGCAATGTGACATTGGTCCTAGAATTGTGCAGGCACCATAAATTGGGAGATCAATTATCCACAGCTCAAGAACCCCCTAGCAATCTCTGGAGGAACAGTGGTTGAGAATGGCGGCTATAGGCCCTAAAATAAATACAGTGGTGTCCGCTCTCCAACCTGAGCCTGCTAAATGGACAGTGAAAAAACAGCCACAGACTGATGAGGTCTCTCTGCTCGCTGTTGGTTCCCTATTAGCATGGTTTTTGTCAGCACATTTACATGCACCACACATGACTGGCTTCCAGCTTTGACCCTCTTTCTCCCTGCCTGAGCACTGCTGTACAGGGATTGCAAGAGGCTGATCTCAAGTCATATTCAGGTACTTACACTGCTGGCATATACAAAATACGTTTAATTGTGCATGAATACAGAGCTGCATTAATTTGTCATTTTATATCTACCTGGAGTTCAGCTTTGAAACTGGTGATTGACACAATAAAGCTGAACTTCTGGTTAACAGATAAATACAAATATGTCAACTGATTTGTCTGGCAAACAATTTGTAATTCTGTTCAGTTTTGTCATCCATGCACTCCTGCTGGACAACGCAGTCAGGTTCTTGGCCAACAGTGCAGTTGGAAAGTTGACCCAACTTTGCAAAGTAATATCACCTCTGTGCTCACTTCTGTAAGCTTGTTCACAGTATTAAACTGACAGCAATGTACTGTACAAAGCAATAGAACCCAATTGACTCAGAGCGCTGCTGTTTCCTCTTCCAGTCTGAGTCAAGCTGCTAAGGGAGCTAAGTTAAAGACTGAATTAAGGTACTTATATAAACTCTATTTAACACTTCATGAAAAAGAATGCACAACTGGAATAAAATGTATTTTTGTACAGTATCTAGGCGGAGCTCATCTTTAAAGTGAATAATTTATGATTCAGCAAAATCTTAATCCAATGACTGTCCTGCCTCTTTCACTCACAGAAACGCTTTGAAAATCTTAATGTGCTGTCTCTGAAGCAATCAGAAGGAGAGAATCTTTATGAGGTAGGGAGTTTCCATTGCTAGATCCATACTTTAATAATTATCAGCTGTATGTTACCAGCATTCACCTATATTTTAGAAGCAGAAAGTATATAAAATATATATACAGGGACTAGACAAAAAAAATGGAAATGGAATAAGATAACAACTGCTGCAAAAGTGACTGCAGAGCTCAATCTCAGTCCTGTAAAGACTAAGACCCATGAAGACTGAGATTGAGCTCTGCAGTCACTTTTGCAGCAGTTGTTTTCTTTTTCTGAGTCACAATCCTGCGCAATGTCCTTTTGTATCTTTTGGTCAATTGACCTCAACTCTGACATGACTCCATAATTCTAGTAGAGCATGCAGTGAATGACAAAAGTGAGGCTTTTCACCTGTTAGCTAGGTGTCTCATCACACAGCGGAAGCAAAAGAATGTTGCATCACTTTCGCTTTCAACGCAAAACATGTCGTCACTTTTACACCTGCTAATCATGTAATGATTCCATTTTTTGTCCAACCCCTGTATATATTTGAAAAAAATACTGTGTGTGTATATACTGTGAGTATATATAAATTATATATAAAATAGACTCATGTCGTTATAGATTTCCAATAATAATATACATATGACATATAAAATAAAATAGACTCAACAGTTATAGTTTCCAAAATTAATATATGACATATGACAGACATATCCAATAACATAGTAAACGTAAATAAAGATAGGCAGTAGCCTTGTGCAAGTAACAAATCAGCAACAAATAAGTAATGGGCCGTGCATTAAAACATGTAAACATTAAGTTAAATATGCATACTGTATATATGATCATCAAGTCCACAGATCAATGTGTATTGCCAATCATTGTGTCCACAACAAATAAAGTGACCATTTATTCTGCAAAAATCAAAAGTGCTCCACCACATGCCAATAAATTCTGTGCTCGCCAGATCCATAAGGCCTACAAGCTCTTTAACTTAGATCCAGGCTTTCAGACACCTTCATCCAATTTTCTCCTGTTAGTCCCCGGCAGTACTCATGGAAAATAAAAGAGCCCCAAAAGATGGAAATTATATAGTGTAGTATGTTTATTGGACTAAAAAAGTTAAACACATATATGTCTGCATGCACATGAAAAGTGCCTTTGGAAAGGTACAAACACAAAAAGCTCACTTATGCAAAGGAAATTTTTTAAAAAATATATTCTTCAGATTTTTTTACATATAAAAAAGTAATAACATATATTTTTACAGATATTTTGTAAATGCATTCCAAAAATGTAGGTTTGTTTTTTTAAAGACATACAGTATATTTGAAATTTATTTTTTTAAACATTTTTCATATATTTTGTAATAAAAACACATTTCAACATGCAAATATATATATATATATATATATATATACTGTATATATATATATATATACACACTGTATATATATATATATATATATATATATATATATATATATATATATATATATATATATATATATATATATATATATATATATATATATATATATATATATATATATTGAAATATATTTTGAAATATATTGAATTTGGACAAAATTGTAGCATTCCAAATATATGTCAATATATTTGGAAAGAATATTTTTTTAAATATATGTCACATATATTTTTCTTCCATATGGGAAAAATTCATGCTTTTATGCAGAGTTTGCTAGAAATGATGTATAGCAGTGTGCAGAGGGTTCTTTCAGAATTTTTAGTGTTAACATGTGGTCACACCCCTTTAGCACCTGTTGGATATATATACAGTATGTATAAGCTATTAGAATTTGAGCACAGACTTATCTTATTTCTATTATAAAATAAAACAGACACAAACCATCATAGATTCCAATAATAATAATAATAATAATAATATATATTATATATAAAATAAAATAGACTCAAACCATTATAGATTCCAATAATAGTATATATTAAAATACATATTATATATAAAATAAACTTAAACATTTATAGATTCCAATAATACTATATATTGTATATAAAATAAACTCAAACAATTATATATTCCAGTGATAATATAAATTATATTTAAAATGACATAGACTCAACTGTATTAGTTTCCATTAGTAAAAATATATAATATATAAAAAAATAGACTAAAATATTTTTAGTGTCCAATAATAATATGATTCTCTTTAACCCTTTTCTTTCTGAATCTCAGGGGCTAAATCTGGAGGACTGCTCAATGTATGAAGACATCTCCCGTGGTCTACAGGCCACCTACGAGGATGTGGGCTCCCTGCGGGCTGGTGACATCCAGCTGGAGAAGCCTTGAATGGTGACACGTCAAGCCACGTGCCAGGTCAAGCTGAAGTACAAAGAAGAATGGATGAAATTGTCCATTAGAAGCAATCCTGTGTATATTGCAGTCTTTGTATATCAGTCTGTTGCCTCACTATGTGTAATTGCCATATACAGTATATTCATCTTTTGTACTAAAATGCATTATGTCATTCTGCCTTGCTTTGCATGATTTGGTTTAGCCCAAGTTAGCCTGTCCTGCTTCTAAATTGCAAAAGAGGGCAACATGGCCAACACATTCCTAACACATCAGAAACCTGCGACTAAATTTGTAGCAATTTTAAAATAGAATAAAACCATTATAGATTCCAATACAAATATATATGATATATAAAATAAAATAGAATAAGGCCATTATAGTTTTCAATAATAATATACATGATCAGGGGCAGACTGACAACTCATGGGGCCCCCGGGCAATAAGAGGCCCCTGTGTCCTTGCCCAAACTCAAA